CATAGTCGTGTTGCGGCACATTGAAGGATCGATAGCACACTCGAGAGATTTCAACCGCGGGAGTATATCAGCATCTGTCGAGAGCGTCAAGTAGTTAGTCTTAAATTTGATTCGCACGAAAGAAGAGATCAGGAGGGAAGAGATAAATTTGTATTCGACTGTCAAAATTCACGGTATTTATATACAAGTATTTTCGCCGTCAAACTTGTATCGTTATTTCGTCGGGATTTTTATATCTCTGATACACCGAAAAAAAAGTATCAAATCAAATCTTATATACTTAAACTAACGCGTTCATTGTTTCATATATACGCAACAGTTTATAATCTTCTTAGAAGAATTTAATAATTTTAAAGTTCAACAATGTTATAGTCTTATTTTAATATTGTAGTTGTCACCGCAAGAATATATAATTATTTAATTCTACTTTAAGAAAATTATAATCTTTGATTTAAAAATGTTATTTTCTATCTAACATTGTTTCTTTTCCATTCAAGGAAATTAAATCTTAAATCATAAGAATATATTTTTCTTGATTGAACTATATAAAATGGCTTCATTCAAGTAAGCAATTATTTAAGCAATTATATTTTTCTTTAATTAACGCAATATAATCTCATTTCAAGATTTCCATGTTAAAATTAAATATATTTTCAAAACAAGAACGTTCTTTTTTTCTGTGTACACTCGGCAACCAAAATGCCTTAACACCTGAATTTGCCCGTGTCAAGGAATATTCGGACGACGTACTTCCACTCTATTATAATTGCGCGTCATGATTATTTAATATCTGGCAACGATGTTTCAAAGTGATTGCCGCGGTTGCCGAGTGTACATAGTTTCGTAAGAAATTTGCAAAATATTCCGGATAAAAAACAAATATAGGAAACCGTTGTCCGACCTACTTTCGCGATCCCATGTTTGCATCGAATTCAAATTTACGCTTGATCTTGAACGCTTATCGAACGCTTTTTATTGAGAATCGAGTTGAATTTAGAATGCCGCATTCGTTTCAGCGAGAATACTTTTTAGTGCGGAGCTAATCGATATTCGCTTCGTTGCTCTCGATTTTTTCTGATAACCTCATATGGAAATTGTTGAAAAGTTTACGCTCGTCTGTACTTAACATTTTCGCAAAAATTTGGGCAAACAAATCCACGAACACGTTTGCGTGTTAATTAAATTTTAACAGATATTAGATAGATATTTTGACACGATATAAAAAATCGCACATAGAAAATCAGATATTATTCCCCTTTTTCTTTACTCTTCTCGTACACATTCACGAAACAATAACGAGTTACAATACGGAAGAGGAGCGTTCACTTTTTTAGTATAGTTTTGTGTTTGTCAAACACATTAGTGCACGTAAATATGCGCTTTCCGGCGATCACGTTGCTTTATTTTTTTTCCTTTTTCCTTGTCTCTCTTTTAAAAAAAAAATGTATTTTATATATTTACAGCTGTGTTTACACTTTTTACAAAATACTAAAGATTTTTTCTTCCACGCTTCTTTCGCGTATAAAAAGAGAGAGAGGGAGGAGAAGAGAAATTTCTTATATAAGAAAAGGATTAAATATGGCGAAACATGTATTCGTGATACCTAGGTAGAAAACATCTATGTACGAGAATCTAAGCAATCAATTTTTTGTTTTCGATGGCCTGAAACTTTTTAGCTCGATGTAACGCGATCCATTAAGCGCACCGAAGTAGAGGCGTGGGATGTATCAAAGACGTTCCACTTTATCAGACCATTTCTTCCTTTCTAGAGAGAAAAAGAGGAATATAAGACGTTGACTGTAAGATTACGAGCTACTAAATTCGCGTCAATTTTATTTCTTCATCGAAAGTGGAGTGCAAGAGAAACTTAAAGGAAACTTAATATAATCTTTGTTAATTTATTCAATCTTTTGAAATAGGACGAATGATTTTATCTTATATAATTTTATATAATTTTATTTACAATTGTTCAAAATCCATGTATTTATGAGTCGAGTTTTTTACACATTTTTTATATATGTTTAATATTGCTCACGTCAAAAATGTGATAAATTTACATGGGTGATAAAGCGTTAGTTTGATACGTACAAAAAAACTTGTTCATAAATCAACTTTTTATTGGTTCGAACTTCGTGAAATTTTTTTTTCACAGAAGTGATTTCGTCTTTTTATATTTGACTTTAAGAAAGAGTCAATATGTTATATCACTAATACTGTAACTTTATCGTATTTATTTATATTCTTAAATTTACATAATATTGCTTATTCATGTTGTTATTTTGTTTGATGATGTCTAGAAGACTTCAGGATCGTAAGACATAAAATAATGTATTAGAATACAATAATACTCCAAATATTCGAACAAATTCAGTAATAATAATACACGTTTTATTACATGTAATTATGCAGGGTGCACAAAAAGTGTGGAATAACTTATCAGCATGCTCATAGGTGACGTTGCCAAGGTTACATGAACGTCACTTTAAGTTTTTTAAATGGAAATCCTTATTTCTTATTACATATTCTTGTAATTTATCTCGAAAGCTTTCCAAAACACAATAATTAAGTTATTTTTCATTAAATACTTTTCGAGTTATAAGACTCGAAGTAATTTCTTAATTTTACATAAATTATAAAATATCTCATAAAATATTCATTTTTCAATGATCTTATCTTAATTTTATGCTCATAATAATGAGAGCAATCAATTGATATAAGAAAAACGTATAATTGTTCTTAAGAAAAAATATATACGTAACTGTCAATTGCAAATTACATATTTTTGCTGAAAAACAACTTTGAGTTTTTTTACACCAATTGATTCCTCTCATTATTTCTCTACATTTTTATCTAAAATGAAATCTCTTCAAGTTATTCAGAGGATTTGATACTTTTTGTACACCCTGTATATTAGCATAAAACAAAGAGAAAATAATGAACTTAAAAGATACATGATATAAGCATTCTTCAATACAAATCGATGTTACATACACGATGTAATTGACGTTCTACAAACGTAAGCAGAGACTTTTTTGACCTCTTTTCACATTTATCGATTGCAAGCGTGCGATCTCGCAACAACGAATGATAGTAATTTTGACGGATAACAAAAATGCTTTCGTAATTCGTTTATGCTCGGTCTCTGCAACGTGATGCATGCAAAAACCGACTCCATAAATCATATTCGATTCACGGTCATAGCTATATAATCGTCATGATTGACACGTGAAAAATGCTTTTGCAGTACGCTCAATCTTTGTGAAAATAAACAAGAAGCGGATAGAAAGGATAAGAGGTTTGATATTATATGATTTTATAGCAGCAGTGTTTGCATGTTAAAAAATATGTAGAAACTCGAGCAAATAATCAAAATAAATCGAACGAAGATATAAAGATTGTAATTTTTCTTTAATTTTAAAATATAAAATTATAAATGAATTCTCTCTCTCTCTCTCTCTCGATAGTTCGGTACAGCAGTTAGATCGATGGTGTTTACATTTTTTTCGAAACACTTAAATCGTCTTACCGCGCGCAATCGAGCAATCTCAAGATTGACAATTTTTAAAATTGAGATGCAAAATATAAATGTGTCCTGAAAAGAATCACTCTTCAATTTTACCCAACAATGCATTTAATTTCTTAATACAATAATTTGCGTATAGAAAAAAGAAGCGAGACGATAAGAAAAATTAATAGCAGATTGATCCGAAATCATGATAATCAATGTCCCGATCAGCTGATCGGGACATTGATTATCATGATTTCGGATCAATCTGCTATTAATTTTTCTTATCGTCTCGCTTCTTTTTTCTATACGCAAATTATTGTATTAAGAAATTAAATGCATTGTTGGGTAAAATTGAAGAGTGATTCTTTTCAGGACACATTTATATTTTGCATCTCAATTTTAAAAATTGTCAATCTTTTTCAAGCAGCTGAATTATACGGTCTATTTGTAAGAGAATCAGTCGAGCGAATCAGAAGAAATTAATCAATCAAGTAAATAAAGTTCTCTCGTAGAGATTTGTGTGCTATACTGTGGCACGTGGCTTATCATTTTTATTTGTTTCCACAATTCCGCGAGTTGATTTGCATTTATAGTGCGCATCGTGCACCGCAATATTCCTCGCACACCTCGGGGAACACAATGGGCAAGAAGCAACAGCAAGTTTTCATAACGCTGTGCTACTCCACTCCCTCCCCCCGTATACGTGACGACAAAGCCGATTAATTATATTTCGTTGAATTAACATACACGGTACGCGGAAGATTGCATCGCCCTCGTATCGTGTAGAATATGCTATCGGCGTGCGTTTCGGCACGACATCTCCGTTCAATTCAGCGAACATGACGCGATTATCACCGCCTTCGTTGCAATCGATCAAGAGCTAAAAGCAGTCGCATATCGGGATGACAAGAGCGACGAGACGATGACAATCACGTTTCGGAAACATACGCATGTTTTTTAATAGGATCCGAACAGAAGGAAATTTCATATTGTATAGATAATTTTATAATTATATAATTATATAATTATATAATATCTATGCAATATGCCATTTTATAATTATAATATTAAATTATAATTTATAAATATAATTAATTATATATATAATTTATATAATTTTATAATTATAAATATAACTTTTTCATTTATGTACATAGATCTGAAATATATTTAAAAAATAGATTGTGATTCTTTTCAAAATTTATAAAGTTTTATAATATTTATCGCTGTACGCGACTGCAAGTATAATCTTGATAAATAATAAATATTATCAATAATATTATTAAAAAGTTATGTATATAATTACATAATTATAAAATTCACGTTATCCATACGATATTTTATTATTATTATTATTACTATTATTATTACTATTATTATTATTATTATTATTATTATTATTATTATTATTATTATTATTATTATTATTATTATTATTATATACAATTATTAGGAATAAATTTCACAATCGCTCTTTTGCGTCTTCTTTTAGCATTATTTGCTATGAATAAAGTAGAAGTATGTGTGACTGAAGGGAAATTAATCGGCATCGTAGAGGAAAGTATTCATGGCGATCATTTTATTGCTTTCCGTGGAATACCATATGCTAAACCTCCGGTGGGTGAACTCAGATTTAAAGTAAGTACAAAACGTTCTTGGCATTATTTTATTTTAAGATTCAGTTTAATTTTTTTAGACGATTTTTTAAATTTAAATTAAAAAGAAGCAAAGAATCAATTAATCAATTTATGGTTAAAGTTATAACAAAATTAGTTATTGTTTATCGCATGACTACTATCTTCAAATTGACAGTCGATACAAACTATTGTATATATTAAATAATCTTATAAAATAATGAAACATAAAAAATAAAGTAATTTACACTTATAAATATTTAAGAAAATTAAAAATAAAATCTAATTGTATTACAAAAAATCAAAATTAATAATATAATCATTGCTGATTTCATTAATTCAAGAATTTCACGAATAACAGAAAATTTCGTGTGATAAAAATGATAATAAATGTATCTTGTAAAAATTACAACGCGTAATTATGAATGTGAGTGTCTAAAAAAAATCAAATATTATATTCATATTATTAATTTATTATTATTTGCTCATATTATTAATTCAAGTGCTAATAATAAAAAATTTCTTGCGATAAAAATTATAATAAATGTAATTGTGAAAATTACAACGCGTAATTATGAATGCAAACGTGTCAAGAGATTAAATGATTTGTTTTTAGATGAATTAATCTTCTTATTGCAATGTGCGCTAACTAAAATATGTAAAAAACTTGAACGATAGAACTTAAACGGCAAGCAAATCGATCAATCACTGTTAAGAGTATTTTTTTCGATCTAATCTACCATTCTTGAAAAGATTAATTGATCGCTTACTAAGTTCTATCGCTTAAGTTTTTCTACGTGATATGGCTTTAAGGAAAAGAGCACGCACATGATGCGCAATAAACTTATGTGAGCAAAAGTTTTCGTAACTATAGCTCGTATACTCAAAAGTTTTTTATCATGTATGATGTTTTATGCATCATCGCGACATTTTATGTCAGGAACATTTTAAGGATTAGAAATACGAAAAATATAATAAATTTATTTAAATTTGATCTTCATAGAAATGAGCTTTGAAAATAATAATTTACATCTAAATTTTAATAGATTATGATATGTAAACGTTACGTAACATACGTCTGTTCATCTTGTTTATCATAGAAAAACAAATTATCTTGTAACGCACGACGATACACGATAGCAAAAAATTAATATTTATAATTTTGACAACAAAATTTGTTCATATCTTAGAAATACGATAATCAATATAAAATAAAAGTTTGATATAATATTACATGTGTATTTCTTGCTAAGGATAGATCCCGTACTTGACATGTTTTACATTAGCGAATTTTTTATGTAGGATCCAGTACCACCTGAACCATGGTCCGGCAACCGAGATGCTTCAAAGTACGGAAAAATCGCTGTTCAGGTGGATATTTTTACGCAAGAAGTCATAGGCGATGAAGATTGTCTCTATTTGAACGTATTCACTACGGATACGAAGCCTTTAAAGAAACGAGCTGTAATGGTGTGGATACATGGTGGTGGCTTTTTCATGGGCTCTGGAAATGCATCTTTCTATGGTCCCGATCATATTATTCGAAAGGACGTGGTACTCGTTACTCTGAATTATAGATTAGGTGTTTTAGGTAAATTATTAATTAGCTCATAAGTAAATTATTAATTAGTTCGTCGATTAGGTGTTTTAGGTAAATTATTAATTAGCTCTACATATTCACTCATTACACGTTAATGGATTCGACGATCTGTTTCTTTCAGAATAAACATATGTACATATTTATATTTCAATTTTTTACGCTTTAAATAATTCACATGTATATATATATATAGTCATGTATGCTAAGTTGTTTTAAATAATTAATTTTCATGCTTTTTTGTAAATTTCATTTTTTTAAATAGTATTTATAAAAAAATTTTATTTACAAATCCATTACACAAATTTTGTTGAGTTATAAATAATTAAAAGACTTTAGCAAATAAATAAATAAATAAATAAATATTATTTTATTATTATATTTATTTAGTCACCAGTCTTTATGTATTTTAATAATTTAGATAAATAAGATTTGCTAAAGAAAAACATATTAATGATATATCTTTCTGTCTTTTTTTTTAGGTTTCCTCAATCTATATCATAGAATGGCAACAGGAAATCAGGGTTTAAAAGATGTAGTTATGGCATTACAATGGATTAAAAGAAATATATCGCAATTTAGTGGAGATCCTGATAACGTCACAATTTTTGGTGAAAGTGCGGGTGGAGATATTGTTCATTGTCTGACTATTTCGCCGTTAGCTAAAGGTATGAATCAAAAAAAGAAATGCTATTGATATATGTATTAAGAATACCTTAAAAATTCCAGAATCATCAATAGTCATTTATTCATTATAGATTCAGTTCCTCTGCCAATCAAGCAAACGAATAATAAATTAATAAATTTTAAATAAACTGTAACAAACATTTGATTTAAAGATTTTTAATTTTTTAATTTTGATTTTTCGATTACTATATAACGTCGAAACTATATAACGTCGATGTTTTAAAAGTTATATAGAAAATATATGATAATCTTCGCAATATTTTCAGTAAAGAAAGATCGATTCCAAGTTAAAAAATAAGAAAATTAATAATTAAAAGCATGCTAATTAATTTTAATGTATTATACTGAGTCGAAGAGGAAAAAAGCAAAATTTTATAACGAATAAAATTGTATTAAATTTGCTGGAGTGCCAATTATATGTGTGACTACATTTTACAGGTTTATTTCATAAAGCAATAAGTCAAAGCGGCGTCATGACTAATCCTTGGGGTATCACTGAACGAGACACTTGTATCAATAATGGTCTGCGGATAGCCGAGAAACTTGGCAAAGCAACTTCAGATACGAAAGTCGCCTATAAATTTTTGAAAGAGATAGACGCGAGAAAGTTAAGAAAAGCAGAAATAGAGCTTTTTTTGACAAAAGCTGTAAATATTACAACATTCTATTATGATCATTGCAATAATAATTCGACGAATTATACGCGTGAGAATAAATTTATTTCTTATTGGCAATACATATTCTTGTAGAGACGATTAAATCTTTCGATTGCGTTTACTCCGACTGTGGATTCCGAGTCATCAAATCCTTTCTTCCCGATAGAACCATTGAAATTATTACATAATGGAATTAAAATGCCAGTTATATTCGGATACAACTCTTCCGAAGGCAATTTCTTCTTGCGAGGAAAATTTTTCGGCGGTAAGTATACATTTGCTTTTATTTTTCATTATACATTATACATTTTATCAATCGTTTCGATGCACAAATTTCCATAAATTTCCATCTATAAAAAATAAGATATATGAATAGCGCTGCTAAAAAATATCCGTCATCAATAGTATTTGTCATAATATATTTAATCAGTATTAATAAATTTCAGATTTTATCAATACGTATAGATGCACGTATGAGAATCATAGTTATTTGTGCAACCGTTTTATTTCAAAGTAACCATTCGCATATTTATTTATTTTATCGTTTCAGATATAAGCGAAGAAACTCTAAAAGAAATAGATTCTGATTTCAAGAAAGTTATACATCCTAAAATTTTACGTCAATTACCAGAGATACCAATCACAATATCAGAGTTACGAGCATTATACTTTGGTGATAAAGCAGTGTCAGAGGAAACTATAATGAATTACTCTGATTTTCTTGGCGATCAGTGTTTCTACAAAGGCATTATAGAAGCAATTGATATTCAAATGAGTTCTGGTGCTAACGAACCGATCTATTTATACAAGTTTTCATATGAAAGTAAAACTTCTCCTATGAAAAACATATTAAATATTCAACTTCCAGGTATTGTGTCGTTAATTAATTTAGAATTATGTAAGAGTCATTAATCTTAATCTTAGATAAGAATTTTCATAAAATTCTTATGTGAAATTAAATGCCTTTTAATCTCTATGATTGTAAGAAGACAAGCGTGGTTCTGTAGTAATATTATTAAGGAGAACTAAAAAAATTATGTGATATTTAACAAGACATTAAATATAAATAAAATATAATTTTAGATTGTATTTATGATATGTCGGAGATTATCAATTTTTGAGATTAATTTCTCGTATAATAATATTTCGTAGGTACGGCCCACTTCGAGGAATTGGGTTATTTATTTTATCCTTATTTAATGAAAGATTTGGGCTTATCACCAGCAGCACCTGATTCGAAGGATTACAAAATAATAAATTGCTTAACACAAATGTGGACAGATTTTGCTAAAACGGGGTATCATAGATTTAAATATTTCTTATGATAGTCATATAATCGCATACATAATTAATTATTCATTTATTTCAGAAATCCAACACCTGCTAATAAAGATTCGATTTCAGTTAAATGGACACCATTAATAAATGGAAATGCATATGATTATTTAAATATTAATATTAAACCTCAAATGGAAACTCTTTATAAAACAGAACAACGATGGGATTGGCAGATGAGACGAAAATTATAATATTCCATTAAAATACGTGCATTAAGATTTCTTTTAAAGTTTATATTGTTATTAATTAGATATAAATAATTAGATATAAATATAAAATTAGATATAACATTAGATATAAAATTAGATGTAAATATATATATGTATAGGTGTATATTATGTTTTTATATCTTTCTTCAACTAAAATCTACTTATAAATAATCAATGCAATATTGCGTCAATTATATTTCATTATTTATATTATCAAGTGCGACAATACTAAAAAAAATAAATATATCTTTGATCAAAAATATCTTAATACTCTTCTCTTTGTTAAGAACACAACAAATCATATGAATAAAAAGCATATTCTTTAATATAAAGTTTTTTCTAAGTATTTCTATTTAAATATATTTTTACACTTTCTGCTTTTGGAAAAGAAAATTATTGTTTAAATCTTTCGAAAAACTACAATAATATTGTTACAATAATTTTTACCGACACTATCGAATCAAGCGATATATTGATTATTGTGCGATATATTAATTATCATGTAATATACCATTATATGACTCCAATCTCCGCGAAAATGCTTCGCCAAAATAATAAACAAATTTTTGGAAAAAAATGATTTTAGTTTGATTTAATTTGTATTTTTTCGAATTTACTATTTTCCCTTCTTTAGATGTAAATTTATAAATTGGAAAACTATCAAAGAAGCAAATTAAAATTTGCACATTATAATAAATCTAATTATTATTATCTAGTTATTAATATCAATGACTTAATGTAATATTATAAAATATAAAAAGTGAGTCCAGGAATAGCAAGTCACTATTTGCCGCGAGTCACTCGCGCGGTAAAATAAACATGCTTCGATGTTTATTTGCATGAGTGTATATATGGTTGCATAGTCGCGATACGGACACGTCATCGAGTCATATGCTCAGTTTATTAGCGCGTTCTGTCGTTATTCTGTCAGTGTCCATCATGAATGGCAACAGAGTGGTCATAAACGTGCGCGAGGGAAAATTAATCGGCATCATCGAAGAAAATTTTCTTGATGGGAAGTATATCGCTTTCCGAGGAATACCATATGCAAAACCGCCGATCGGTAAACTTAGATTCAAGGTGAATATCTCACGCTTTCTTATTGTGAACGTGTCTTAAGTAGCAGTTTATCTTACGAGCCAGAACTGAAGCTGGATAGAATGAGTTGATTATATAAAGAATTTATAGTTAAATAGATAGATAAATGACATGAGATGAAGGGATTTTTTCCTAGTTTTCTTTTTTCAAATTTTATCAGACAGTTTTAAATAATCGTAAACAGCGAAAACCGATCAATCATCATTAATCTTTGTTTGAAATTTAAACGTTCTGTGTTTATTACACACTTGCGATCGCTGCGAACTGAATGTAAGTATATGTAATTATAAATACTGATGATTTTTATTTATATCGTGTATGAAATACAAACAATCATCAAACGCATATATGTCATAGTTTATAGCTTCCGCATACATATATTATATATGCGTCCATAGTCCACGCCAGTAGCTTCAAATTGTTGAAAGAAAAATTCTTCAAGCGATTACATCTGCAACTGTCATTATTCTAATTTATGAATTAATTTATACAAGGATTATTTTTTTAATTTTCAAAAACTGTTTTCTATAAATATTCTCGTAAATTATTTAATCCTTTGATTGCTGGACATGGATGCGTCTATAGAATAATGACGGCTGCAGATGTGATCGCTTGAACGATTTTTTTTCAACAATTTATCCCCAATATAAATTAATCTTATTGCTATGTAAAGTTTGTGTAACTAAAAAGTACATAGAAACCTGAGCGGTAGAACTTAAGCAATAAACGAATCGATCAATCACAGTCGAGCATTCTTGCCAATTTAATCTTTGAGAATGCTCGACTGTGTCTGGTCAATTCGTTTATTGCTTAAGTTCCATTATAAGTACCATTTAGATTTTTCACAATTATTTATTTATTTTAATCTTGAAAACACATATTTTTAAAAAAAGATATCTAAAGAATAACTTAAAGATGTTATTATCTCTTATTGCTTTTTATCGTGTTTTTGTTATCTGGAAATATACACGTGCATCGAAAAAAAAATTACCTTTAAATATTTTAACATTGCAGAAATTTTAAATTCAAGTGTTTAAAAATAATGTTAAATTTTATGCAGCATAAAAAAAATTATCACAGTTAAAACAAGAAAATAAATATATCAAATTTTAAATATAATTTAAGAACATACACGTATGTTTTTTACATATAATTATACTTCTTCACAAAAGTAGTATTTCTTTAGCGATTTCTTTGACAATGGAAAGGATTAATATTCAGTTTCGAATAAGCAAGACTTGTTCAACGAGTTCTGAAGAACCGATATGTGTCGATTTCTATTGGGAGGATATATATATATTTCTATTATTACTTTGTCAATTTTCTCTAAATGTTCGCTGATTAAAGGGGAACTATAGGGAAAGAGCTATGAAACAAATTGCTTTTCAAATTGTTATTTATTATGAACGCACGTATATTCATATTCAAGATAAAAGTATCATATATTAGAGAGGTACATAATAATCAGAGATGATTTGTATATACTTAGGATCCGGCACCACCGGAACCATGGTCCGGCGCCAGAGATGCTTCAAAATACGGAAATGTCGCTGTTCAGACGGATATTATCACAGGCGAAATGATTGGCGACGAAGATTGTCTCTACTTAAACGTGTACACCGCAGACGTCGAATCATGGAGAAAACGTCCGGTTATGGTGTGGATACACGGCGGCGCTTTTAGCTTAGGTTCCGGCGATGCATCCGTTTACGGTCCCGATTATATTGTCCGGAAGGACGTGGTATTGGTCACGTTAAATTATAGACTAGGTGTTCTCGGTACGTTCAATATTATATAATTCTCCTATGTACGTCACTTGTATTTGGCTGTTTTTTTAGAGAGAGAAAACAGTCAAATTTTCGACCATTTTTAGACTGACGACTGAATTTTTCAGTCAAAAGACTGAATTTTTTTCAACGAGATCTCGTAAGAAAAAAAAGTTTTAATCTCGCAAATTAGTTTTATCATTGCATTATGTGGTAAACATTTGTTTTTTACTGTAAAAAGAAATGTAAAAAGAACATTAAAACTTAAGGAATACTTAGTAAATTTTTTTTTACTTTGGATACAAAAATTGATCATGTCATCTTAATTTAAAAGTCAATTTTGCGAAGAAAAATGTAATTATAATGCTTTAAAATATTATGATTCTAAGGGTTCCTAAATCTTAACGATGAAGTGGCAGCAGGCAATCAAGGTATAAAGGATACTATTATGGCATTACGATGGGTTCAAAAAAATATATCAAAGTTCAGTGGAGACCCAGGAAATGTCACCATCTTTGGCGAAAGTGCTGGTGGTGTCATCGTTCATTATTTGACTCTGTCTCCATTAAGCGAAGGTTATCAATCATAGGTTTATTGAATATACACATAGTACTTCACAATCAGTCATGTATATTAGTTAATAAATTTATCGATATAATATATTCTGAAATAGAAAATATTATAACAACATCTTCGAAATAGAATGAAACAGAGTTGTTACAGTTTAATTAAATTATGTATTTTAATTGTTGAATGTTAATTTTTTTTAATGTTTCGAGAAATTTTAATTCTGAATTGAAAAATATTATTATCTAAAAATATTATAGATACTGACTAATAATCTGTTAATCTCTTCAATATTTTTAATGAAGAAGATTAAATAAAAAAGATTAAATTTGCAAAATATCCAAGATATTAATAATTAAAAGGATTCTAAGATGATCCTTATATGATCTTTATATGATCGAAGTTGAACAGAAGAAAAAGAAAATCTTATGGCTAACTAACTATATCAAATAAATTTTACAGGTTTGTTTCACAAAGCGATATCACAAAGCGGCGTTGTCACAAATCCCTGGGCCTTTATTGAATTGACAAATAAAGCCACGAACAAAGGTTTCCAACTTGCCGAGTACTTTGGTAAAGCGACCTCAGATCCGAAGGTCGCTTATGAACTTCTCAAAATAATCGACGCGAGAAAGCTTAGGAAAGCCGAACACAAGTTGCAGACGAAAACAGTAAATATCTTAACATTCTATTGCGACATAAAAGTGCAATGGATTAGATGTTTATAGATTATTTGAATTAAATATTTTTATGGGCGATATGTTCTTGCAGGAGCGCCTACAAAAGATAATACCGTTTCCACCCAGTTTAGACCACAAATCGCTGAATCCAGTCATCACGGAGGATCCAAGCATATTAATACATCGCCGAGCTAAAGTGCCATACATTGTGGGTTATAACAGTTGCGAAGGATCTTATTTAGTAAATAGCACTTTCGGATGTATGTTTATTTAGGTTTTTACTAATTATATCTTTAATCGATGCACAAATTTTCGCGCAATGTGTTCTGTTAAGAATAACTAACAATACTAACAATAAGAATAATAGGACTATATGAGCACTGCTGATATTAAAATAATATTTGGATAATATTATCGATATGTAAATAGTATCGGGGGGGGGGGGGGAGATAGAAAGAAGTTTATCAATCTCAAATATATAAAAATCATAATTATGCGCTAAATATAAAATAAATTAAAATAAAATAAATTTGCTCCAAAATAATATTATTGTAGCATGCGCGTTTTTTATATTTTATTCAGATATATAGATATACTGCATTCTCTTTTATATACTATATTATTTGATATCACACACATATATCGCATTATTCTCAATAAATTATACATTGCGTGCATCAAAAGATTAATATAATATTTTGAAAATTGATCTTTGTTGAAAAATTTCTTTATCAGAATCAAACAGGTACTTAAAATTTTTTGATCGTGCTTTATCAAATTTATTTTTAAAATATTATACATTTGAAACACTTGACATTTTGTATAACGATCAATATGCAATAATCATACTTAAAATTCTTTCAGATTTAAATGAGGAGACTTTTAAAGAAATCAATTCCAATTTCAAAAAAACCATCATACCTAGAATTTTGCCTACACTATCACAGATACCAATCACAATCGAAGAATTACGATTTTTATACTTTGGTAATAAAACAGTGTCAGAGGAAACTCTGATTAATTACGCTGATTTTATGGGCGATATATATTTTTATCGCGGCATTATGGAAGTAGTTGATGCTCAAATGAGCTCTGATGCTAACGAGCCGACCTACTTGTACAAATTTTCATATGAAAATGAAGCTTCTTTCTTGAGAAAAATCTTAAACGTTACGCTTCCAGGTATAGTCGTTAATTTATTCAAGTTTATAAGAATCATTAATCTTTAATAGATACAAGTATGCTATATATTATATGTTTGAAACAAGAATTTAAAAAATTCTAATAATTTATATGATAAGAAAAAGCAAACGTAATGCTCTATTTTGAAATATTTTATTAGAAGAGAAATAATTAAAATTTTTTAATAGTTTATTAAAAAGAAGATGTATGAATCATTTTCTTTCTTTTTTCTAGAAATAGTGAAAATAAAATTTAAAAATAAGGATTCATTTCCTTCTATAGTGTTTATGTTTATTACATTTATAACAATATTTTGCACAGGTGTGACTCACTCAGAAGAACTTTTTTACTTATTTTATTCTCATATGATGAAAGATTTGGGCTTACCACCATTCGCACCTGATTCGAAAGATTACAAGATAATGAATCGTTTAACACAAATGTGGACGGATTTTGCTAAAACAGGGTATTTGATATTTTTATATAATTTTTTACAGTCGCGCGTATATTAATTACTAATTTTCAAATCTATTTCTAGGAACCCAACACCCGCAATTACGAACTTGACTCCAATTAAATGGACACCGTTGAAGATCGCCGGAAATGTATACGATTATTTAGACATTGATATTGAACCTCGAATGAAAATCCTTCGTAAAGAAGAGCAGCGCTGCAACTGGAAGAATATGAAACATAAGCTATGATTATATTCTGTGTACAATATTTAATCAGCAATAAATATTGACTTTTTAGTACATTTTACGATAATAAATATATTCTTTTCCTTCGTTTTCTTTTTGTACATTAAATTAAATTTGCGTCATAATGTAATACATCAGTTGCATGTGAAGATAATAAAAAATAATATATGTACTCTAATATTCAGAATGCTTAGAATTTACGAAATGTAGACAATTTTGTTCTTTTAAGTAAGTTTTTTATTGTATTATTAGGAATATCGAAACATTAGTAGTTATCAATTTTAAATCCATAATATATATATATATATATATATATATATATATAAATGCTAATATATATTATCATAATGTATATTATATAATATATACATATATATATATATATATATATATATATATATATATTTAGATATAATTTATTATATAATATTAATAATTCGTCATCGTTTCTTATACTACATATTTCTAAAACATCGTAGATTTGTATGAAAACATGTGTGATATATATTAGATAATCGTATTTATCAACGATCAATCTTAGAGATCCTAATAAAACTTAATAAACTATTTTCGCTATTATATTTTATAGATCTTATCAAATTACACAGATTATTTGTTAAATTTCTTATTAAGAGATTTCTTATTAAATCTTTGTAAATTACAAAAAATTGTAAACAAAATGTGAAAATATAAAAGACGATGATTTGATTTCATATTTTAATTAATTTTACCTTTTATCTTTTATTCGCGATTAATCCCAAAGATAAGTAAATCGAATATAATCGCGATAAAGCGTTTCATATTTTGAAGCGATTAATCGAAATCAATGTAACAAAATTCATAATATTTCAGAACAGAATCATATGTGTTTTCTTATCATATAAAATAATTATACATAGATAATTATAAATTATTCTTGTACATTTAGAAACTTGACATTATTAATAAGAAACTTAGATGTGTTATATTAGAATATGAGTATTATTTTTACATCTTTTGAAAATTAATGATTCTTATATGCGATATATTTTGAATATATTAATGACTGTATCTAGAATCGTAAAAATTTAATATTTTTTTATAGAAAAAGTTCCATTTTCATATGAAAATTTTGTACAAGTAGCTTGTGAGCTTTATAATTTATTTAAATTGATAATATTTATAATATTCATAATATTCATAATAATTATAATATTTTTCATATCGATAATATTCATATCACGGTAGAAAAGCTATTGGCAAGAAAATCAATGTGATTCATTAGAGTTTTCCTTGAAATATTGCATTGCATTGTTACCAAAGTATAATCGTAATTCTCTGCAAGCTTTACTTTGATTCTAAAAAATATAATATTATTCATTCTTATAATTCGTTTTACAATTAATAAATGTAAATCAATTATAAAAGCAAATTATAAGAATTTAAACATACTAATATTTAACTATAAGCTATAAACTATAATTACATTTTATAACTATTTTTTACATTCATTGCAAACAATACACAAACAAAATTTTATAATTATAAGAAAAATAACGAGAAATACTATGTTATTTTATGCGTTATGTATTCAGACATCTATATTATTTTAGTTTATATAAAATGTCCTTGCATTTTTTGTACTAACGTGACCTTTTCTGTGCATGCGCCGATAATCGTGATAAATAATACATGCATACATACAATCGTGCGTCATCAAAGTGTGTGCACAGAAAAACATATCTTATACAGGGTGTATCTGAAATGATTTACTAAACTTTAGGAGCGTATTATAGAGGTTAAAATAAGACTTTTTTTTCCTACAAACATGGATCCGCAAATAAACCCCCCCTCTGAGCTAGAGGCCCATAATGTTTGGGAGAAAAATTAAAAATTGGCTGTAAAAAAAAATGTTTTGACGTTACCTATCATCTTCTCTTGAGAGATAAATAAATTTGCGTTGCAAGTGTTTGGTTAATTTCACACACTTTCGAATTTTAGTTCGAAGGGGGGGGGGATTCATTTGCGGACCCATGTTCATAAGAAAAAAAGTCTTATTTTGACCTCTAGAATACGCTCCTAAAATTTAGTGCATTATTTCAGATACACCTGTATACATTTGAAATCATAGACGTGCATAAAATCATAGATCATAAAATCATAGACATGCATAAAATCGTGGACGTCTTATATATAAGAAGTTAGCAGTCTAGAAATATATAGATGTCTGTGGCAATCAACGGGGATGTATTAACCGAGATAAAAGTTAAAAAGTGAAAATAAATTGTAAATTATATAATATTTCATATCGGTAATTTGATAAATGTAAAAAAATAGTGAATTTATTTTAATCTAATTTCCACTCTAAACGAGAATCGACATCTACATTGATACATATAGTCATACAATATAAGCCAGCAGACCGATTTATCAACGTCCTTTTCTCGTCATCTTCCTATCGTATCCAACATGGAGAGAGTGGAAGTTTGTGTACGTGATGGCAAATTGATTGGTATTGTCGAGGAAGGTATTTATGGTGATCGCTATGTTGCCTTCCGTGGAATACCGTATGCGAAACCTCCGGTTGGTGAACTTAGATTTAAGGTAAATATACAGTTTTTTCAGTATTATCGTGATAGGTTTTATACGGTGTTAATTTTAGTCTTCATTATTATTGATTGTTTGTTTCTTATATAACTTGATTATTTTTTCACAAAAACTTGCAACTAAACAAATACGATAAATAAAAATCTTAGGTAAAATATGTTATTGATAAAATTGGCTAATAAGTCTAGCATATATTGTGCGATTGTTATATCTTCTTTTCTATTACTTTGTAGAAATAAAAATAATAGTAAAGTATTGGGCATCTATGTTATTTAAATAAATATTTCTAATTAAAACGATATTAAAAGAAATATTACAAACAAAATGTGCAATTGCACGAAGAACGATTTACATAAAAAATTTATTTAAGGAATACTTGAGATATATATATATATATATATATATATATATATATAATGTAGATTAATTTTTTAGATGTACAAAAATAATACGTTTTGTATATGTAGTATAAATAATTTTTTTCATTGTAAAATTTTCAAATTTTCAAATTTTTTGTAGAATATAACTGAAATATAACTAAAATATATATATATCAGAAATGTAGATAGTACAAAACAATAAGCGAACATTAATAAAATGCACATTAATAGAACGTTAATACAACATTTTTTAATTTAATATTTATGAAAGAGCACGATTTGAAAATCGATTCGCTTCTTGCTTATTTTACTATTTAATATTTCATATTAATATTTAATATTACTTTACGAACGCGCAAGGTAACAATACGCATACGATTAATAATTAAAAATGAACACTTGCGCGAAGGTCGACACTTCTAAAGTTCAATAGCTAATGTTATGTAAACATTACGCATATGTCTATTCATTTTATTTATTATAAAAAAACAACTTGTAACACACGACGATACATGATAGCAAAAGATTAATATTTAATTTTGACAGAAAATTTGTTCATATCTTAGGAATATGATAGTTAATACAAAATAAAATGATATATTATTGTATGTGTATTCTTTATTAAAGATATATCTCGCATTTGATATATTTCACATTAGCTTTTTATTTCACATTAATTTTTATTTAGGATCCTGTACCACCAGAACCATGGTCCGGTAGCAGAGATGCTTCAAAATACGGAAATATTGCTATTCAGATAGATATTATCAAATCAAAAATTACAGGCGACGAAGACTGTCTTTATTTAAATGTGTTTACCACAAATATTAAGTCTTCGGAAAAACGTCCTGTGATGGTATGGATACATGGCGGTGGCTTTTATGTCGGATCTGGTGATTCGACTTTTTATGGTCCTGATTACATTGTGGAAAAGGATGTAGTGTTGGTTACTCTAAATTACAGACTAGGCGTTCTAGGTACATTATTACGAATTAGCTTCATACGCAATAAGTTATCACTTATATTAGTACATGTCACTTGCGTTTGGCTTATTTGGTTTTAGAATGAACATTTAATTTAAATATATCGTATCTCAAATTATGTACAATATAATATTAATTATAATATTAATTGATCATCTGTAAACATTTCATTTAAATCGATTTTATCAAAGAAAAAGACACATTACTACGAATTTCTTTAGGTTTTTTGAATTTATATGATGAAGTAGCAACGGGGAATCAAGGTCTGAAGGATGTGATATTGGCATTACAATGGGTCCAGAAAAATATATCAGAGTTTGGTGGAGATTCAGAAAATGTCACCATTTTTGGTCAAAGTGCCGGTGGAGTTATTGTACATTATTTGACTTTATCTCCATTAAGCGAAGGTGCATATATTTATTGATAAATACACAGAATTATTTGGCATATATACGGAATTTTATTACTTATTGTTAGTCAGATTTATTAACTGATAAATTCAATTTTTGAAATCAATTTTTTCTGTGTTTAAAAAACACAGGTTCACAAAACATACAAAAACATAGGCACACAAAAACATAGGTTCCAATATTATAAAAAAAACTTTATGAAACTAAGATATGATATATATTGATATTATTGATATTATTATGAGGTAATTAAATTTCGAATTTTTTAAATTTTAATTAAAATTAATATATATTAAAATCTAAAAGTTTATGTAAAATAAAACAATTGCTCCAATGTGTTTGCTAAAGAACGATTAAATTTAATCAACTTCAAATTAATGAAAAAGATCAATGATTAAAAAGATACGAATTTTTACTCTTTAAAATAAATCCTATATATTTTCTTTATTAATCAAAGAGAAAAAATTAAGAAATATTTTTTATGACAACAACTCGTATACTAAAATTCGATACGATTCTACTTGCAGGTTTGTTTCATAAAGCGATATCGCAAAGTGGCACTGTTTTGTGTCCATGGGCCTTTACCGAACCGAAATCTTGTTCAACGAATAAAGGCTTCTTGCTTGCCAAGAAACTCGGAAAAGTGACCGAAGATCCGAAGGTTGTTTATGAGTTTTTCAAAACGATCGACGCGAAAAAACTCATAGAAGCTGAACGAAAGTTTCTCAGAACAGAAAAAGTAAGTGTACTTTAAAATTTGATTACTTCAATGTGGAGTTATACGTATGTAGATACAGATGTATAGAGACTGTAAGAATAAAATATTTTTTCTTTTAACTCTTTCGCTCTTCGCTGGAGCGAAGTCTAATGCAGAATGCGCGATCAATTACTAGTATAAAGATATTTGAATAATGATAATATTAGTACTGAACATCTTAAGGCGCCAAAAGAATACAATCACCAAAATATCAAACCGCCTAAAGGCGCCTACAGAAGCAGAAGGTTTAATAACTTCTTCTTTTAGGAGCGTCTACAATCTCTATTGTCTTTTACACCTAGTCTAGATCATGAATCATCAAATCCAGTTTTCCCGGAAGATCTAACAACGCTTATTCATCGTGGCGTTAAAGTTCCATATCTTCTGGGTTTTACAAATTGTGAAGGATTATTTTTTTTACGCAATAATTACGAATGTGAGTACATTTGTATTCTCGTTTTGTGTATGTATGCGTGTGTAATGCAATTTGATATACAACATTTGTAAATAGTATCTTCTATTAAGAGTACAACGGTAGTATATTATATATTTGTACTATATTATGTGTATATACAGAGTGTTTCTTAATAAGTGCGAAAAATTGTAGGAGATGATTCTGTGTCGAAAATTAAGAGTTTTTCATATAAACATATATTCCTACATTCCTCCCTGTGGAGTTATACTCCTCTAAAAATGGGAGTGAAAATTAGATTTTATTTTTTAGATTTTTAGGTTTTTATTATAATTTTGTTTTTGTTCCAATTTTCCAAACATTTACTCTAATTTTTATTTTTAAATTTAACTTCTCGTAATTTGAAACCTATTATATGCTGTTATATGCTATTTAGCATCGTGCTGTGCACGATAACGTATTTTTTTCTTGAAGACTACTGATTTTATAAAAGCATAAAAGAAATAAGAAAGTTTCTAAATAAATCAAATATTTTAATGCATATTTTTAGATGATCATATACCGGACCATTAAAAAATTTTAATTAAAAAATTGAACAGAGGTTGCTAATTTCATCCCCTTATAACTATACGGGAGGCTGAAAAAAATATTAATAATCTTTTTACTAGTAGAAAATATCCACCTAATTTCGTTATTTTAACTTGTTCAAAATTTGAGAAAAAAATAGAAACCTAATTTTTACCTCCATTTTTGGAGGAATGTAACTCCACAGAGAGGGATGTAGCAGTATATGTTTATATGAAAAACCCCCTCAATTTTCGACAAAGATAATCATCTTCTAAAATTTTTCACTTATTAAGAAACACCCTGCATACACACACCCAAGCACGCGCGCGCGTGTGTGTATATGTATAAATTTATATATATATGTATAAATAATATTTAAAATTTAATATTTTAAAAATAAATTTTCTTTGACAAACGTTGCTAAATTACTTCTTAGCAAAAAATTAAAGTATTATTATTGTTAAAATATATTGGCTCTTTACCTGACACTCTGTATAATCCTTTAATATGATTTCAGGCATAAATAAGAAGGCTCTCAGTCAAATAGATTCTGACTTTGAATTGGCAATATATCCCACAGTTTTACCTAAACTGCCAATCACATTATGTCAATTACGATCCTTATATTTTGGTGACAAAAATATTTCAGAGGAAACATTGGCTAATTACATTAATTTACTCACCGATATGTTTATTTTGCGTGGTATTATGCAAGTAGTAGACATTCAGATGAATAATGATAATTGTGGAAAGACATATCTGTATCAATTCTCATACGAAAGCGAAACCTCACTCATGAAAAAAATTTTCAATATTGACTTTCCAGGTACTTAATAAGTTTAAAATGGTAATGAACTTAATATGAAATTCTTTAATGTTGAACTGTATATATAATGTTGTATAATGTTGAACAGTATATGCAAATGCATTTATACTGTAATTAAAATGCTATCTCTGAGTAACATTTCTACATTATATTTTTAAAAAAATGTGTGTGAGTTTATTTTAAAATATTTTTTTTGAAAACTATATTTTTTCTAAGAATTTTAATATTTTTTTCGATTTAAAAATAATAAATATAAATTTAAATTAAAGATTATATGTTTGTTTTTAATTAATTTACCGTATTACAACATGTTGTAGGTGTGTCTCATGGCGAAGAATTGAGTTACCTATTTTATCCTGATATAATAAAAGTATTAGGTTTATCAGTACCTGCGTCTGATTCGGAGGATTATAAGATGATAAATCGTTTAACGCAGATGTGGACAGATTTCGCTAAAACAGGGTATTATAAACATAATATTTTTATGTAATTTTAGAGATTTTATTATAATAATCAATTTATTTCCAGGAATCCAACACCCGTGATTACGGATTTGACTCCAATTAAATGGACACCGTTAAAAAGCGGAAATGTATACGATTATTTAGACATTGATGTCGAACCTCGAATGAAAGTTTTTCGTAAAGGAGAACAGCGCTGGGCCTGGGAGAACATGAATAACATAAGCTATGATTATTCTGTTTACAAAATTTAATCAGCAATAAAAAATTGATTTTTTAGTATACACATACATATACATTCTACGATAATAAATATATTTTTTCCTCGTTTCTTTTGTACTTCAAATTATACTATATTTGCGTCACAATGTAATGTGTCAGTTGCTTATGAAGATAATCAAAAATAATATTATTAATTTAGAGTGCTTTAGAAGTTAGAAAATGTGGATAGCTCTGTTTTGTAAATCTGTTTTTATCGTCAGGACATTAGCCCAATAATTGTCAAATTTATAAATTTCTAAAAATAAAAAAATTTTTTTTATTAATTTGTTATTAATTAAGAGTATTTGTTATTATTTGTAATTAATAAAATTTGAAAAATGATAGATAACTATATCCATATTTTCATTAAATTGTAGATTATTTAAATAACGCAGACATTTCTTCTTTTTTTGAATCTAATAATAATTAATTTCTTTCCTATACAAGATTACGAAATTTTTGAGTACAATAAGATTATATGAAAAATGAATGTATTAAGGAAAATAAAAAAATACATAAATATATACAACAGAATGATAATATAAAATAATATATAATTACATAACTTGCAATATAGATTTAATAATCAATAATTTTTCTTTCTACGTACGTATTGAATATCAATTAAGATTAGGAGGAATCATTTGTGTGAATATTTGCACTACGTCTTATTGCATTTTAAATTTAATTTATGCAATGTGAACATTAGACTCTTTATAGTCAATCAAATCTATCGATCACGAGATTGCAATGTCATGCCTATAGAGTATTATAAAATGATAAAAATGCTTTTTCATAGTTGTTTGTGAAGTTTTATTAGCATTATATGCGTGTAATATATATATGTGTGTGTGTGCGTGCGTGCGTGCGTGTGCGTTGCGTGTGCGTGCGTCGTGCGCGCGCACGCGCGCGCGCGCGTGTGTGTGTGTGTGTGTAATGTGTCCAAAGACTAACTGTAAATGTATTTCGTAAATTTTTTTTATTTATAATCATATCATATGAAATTATGTTTTTCTTTCCTCGCAATTTAAAAATAACATAGTCTAAATTAACTATCGTCTAAATTGACTATAATTATTAAACACATTTTCGTTATTATTGTAATTAAAGCAAATTGATATCATTTCTTATATTTTTCAATATTTTATATTATTATTATCACAATTATCAACGTTTCTCATACTACTATATTTCTAAAACATCGTAGATTTGTGTGAAAACATGTGTGATATATTTGTAATCGTATTGTAATCGTATTGTATTATTGTAATCGTATTGAAGTTATCAACAATCAGTCTTATAGATTTTAATAAAACTATTTTCGTTATTAAATGTTAAAACGTTTATAGGTGTTCGGGAGAGTCATCGATGTGCCGCGATAGCGTAGAATTAAAAAAACGTGTACGGATAAAATATTAGTCGCACGTAATGTTATGTAAAAAATGAGTTTATTAAAGAGTTCATAAAAGTAAAATATAAAAATGGGTACAGAAAATTAAGCGGTGTAACTACAGCGGTTTTACAGAAACGATGGTGCGAGATATACACGGTGTAATTAAGCGGTTTTACAAAGCGATGAGATAAAATTTCTCAATCTGTTAAACTGAAACGGTGAGACAAAGAGTGTCGAAGCGGTTGAACTAATTGTAAGATCGAGTGCGAGGCTGGAAAGTTCGACTGACGGTCTACGTGAATTTTCACTCCATTTTATTGAACGTGATCTCGGGATTGTTTTCCACGTGGACCAATGAATCTTATAGGCTACCGATGAGGTGTTGAATTTTCGAAGTTGCTACGCGCGATATGATTTGCAATCAACTGATTGGCGATCAGCTGATTGCGTAACGCATACTCGTACGTTGCGTTTATTTCATTGACGGTTGACTTTGTTTTCGTAAATGTTTTTTATCTTGTTTATTGAAAAGCTTTATAAATCAAAGTAGGGGTTGCAAAAAATTACGATCTATATCTTAGTACCAATGTAAGACAAAGTTTCAGAGAAAATTCTAATTACATTTCTTTTCTTCTTTTCATTTTTACCATGAAATAAATTTATTTAAATACCGATAATATTCATAATTTCATGGTAAAAATGATAAGAAAAAAATAAATGTAATTCATTAGAATTTTCTTTGAAACTTTGCATTGCATTGGTACCAAGATATAGAAATTGTAATTCTTTGCAACCCCTACTTTGATTCTAAAAATAATAATTTAAATAAATGAATAAATAAATAATTTAACATGCTAATGCTTAAACATGTTATAACTATTTTTTGCATTCTTTGCAAATAATACACAAACAAAATTTCAAATAGTGTTACAGTTCGAAAGACTGTAACTTTATTTTACCGTTAATATAAATTTTATAATTAAAATGTGATAGAATGTTCGCGAACCGCGTAAAACCGTCACCTTAGAGAACCACGCAGTGAGTTACCGGAAACGTGAAAATGTCAACGACGTCACACGTTTCGACTTTGAACTTCTTTCGCTTGTACTTAGATTTGACCGCTGCGAAAAATTGTCCATGATCGTATATGGTCATGTCGCTAAGCGATCTCCTCCAAATACCTCCAAAAACGAGGTACTAAAAACCATCCATCGCGAGTCCGCGGAGGACAGTCGTTAATAAAAAAATCAATCAATAAAAAGTACAAATCCGGGGTTAACCGCTATTTTACGCATCAAACGCTAAAGAAGTCTGTTAACATTCGAAATCTAACAAAGTTAAGAACGAGACGATTCAACGAAATTAGGGAAAGAAGGCTTAAATGAAAGCAAGCAGATTAATAAATGTGTTTATATTTATAAAAAGAGCAATAATATTAATAATAAAATTTCTAAAATCAATCGGCGGTCCCGAGGCCTTGGTTTCTTTGGTTGGTTATTCCGGCAACATCTCCCATCCCGTGCCACTCCCGCCACAACAATAGTTATAAAAAAAATAACGAGAAATATATGATTTTATATACTTATATGATTTTGTATACTAGGTAAGATTAACTGAAATAAAAGATAAAAAGTGATTGTAAATTGTAATATTTCATATCAGTAATACGATAAATGTAAAAAAAATAGCAAGATTATTTTAATTTAATTCTCATTTTAAACGATAATCGATATTTACATTAATTTACATATAATCGTGCAATATAATTTACATATAATCGTGCAATATAAGCCAGCAGAACGACTTATCAACGTTCTTTTCTCGTCATTTTTCTATCATATACAACATGAAAAGAGTTGAAGTTTGTATACATGATGGCAAGTTGGTTGGTATTGTCGAGAAAGGTATTTATGGTGGTGGCTACGTTGCCTTCCGTGGAATACCATATGCAAAACCTCCGATTGGAGAACTCAGATTTAAAGTAAATATAGCTTTCTTAATGTTATCATGAACAATTTTATACGGTGTTTATTTTAGTTTCTTTCGTTAATTTCTTATTAACTTAATTATTTTTTTATAAAATAATTAGAATTAGACAATTAGAAAAATATAAAGAATCAAGATCAGTTAAAAGATATCATTGATAAAACTGTCTAGTTCAGTCCAACATACTGTATGATTATTATATTCTCTTCTCTTATTATCTTCTCTTATTATCTTCTCTTCTATTAATTTATAGAAATAAAAAAAATAATAAATTATTATATGTATCTAAGTTATTTACATAAATTTTTTGAATTTTTAATTATTTACGTAATATTTTTATTTATAGTTATTTACATAAATACTTTTAATTTTTAATAAGAAATATTACAAAAAAATAATAATAAATGTATGTTATTATTTCTTAATTTTTGGCAATTACATGAAAAAAAGGTTTATTTAAAAAATATCTGACATAGAGAAAGAATATTTTCATTATAGAAAATAATTGAGATATATAAGAAATGATAATACAAAACAAAAATTATTAATAAAAATATTAATAAAATTTTGTCAATTTAATTTAATATCCATGAAAGAGCACAATAATTAATCGATTTGATTAATCGATTCACTTATTAGTTATTCTACTATATAATGTTTCAATACGTTGACTGCAAAAGCACGTAAGGTAATGATGTACCCATACGATTAATAACTAAAAATAAACACTTGCACAGGTCGACATTTCTAAAATTTAATAGATAATGTTACATCACACATGTCCCTCTTGTAGAATGACATACGATTTTTGCAAAGTGTATCTCATTTAAAACAAGCTATTTTTAAAACGCATGTGTAATCACGATACATGATAACAAAAAATTAATATTTAATTTTGATAGCAAAATTTATTCATATTTGAAAAATGTATCAATAATCAATACAAATTTAAAAATTGATATAGTATTACAAGCATATTTCTTACAAAGGACTTAATATTTAATATATTTTATTGGCGACTTCTTTATATAGGATCCTGTACCACCAGAGCCATGGTCCGGCAGCAGAGATGCTTCAAAATACGGAAATGTCGCAGTTCAAATACATAATGGAAAAATTATAGGCAACGAAGACTGTCTTTATTTAAATGTATTTAGCACAGATATTAAGTCTTTGGAAAAACGCTCTGTCATGGTATGGATACATGGTGGTAGTTTTGTTACGGGTTCCGGTGATTCATCTTTTCATGGTCCCGATTATATTGTTGAAAAGAACATAGTATTGGTTACCTTAAATTACAGATTAGGTGTTCTAGGTATATTATTACTAATTAACTTGATACGCAATAAGTTATGACTTATATTTAATTCGTATATTATTTACTTAATTCCTTTCATAATTTAGAACATTTAGATTAAATATGGCACATTAAATTATTTATATATTAATACTTTTACAGATAACAAATTCCTTCATTCAAACTCGTATAAAAATATTTAAATTTATATTTTTACTCATATTTTTACTCTTTATAAACTTGTATAAAAAAATTTATATCTATATTTTTGATTTATTGCATGTAGGATTATTTTCTTCGAGAAAAATACAATATTAACGACGAATAAATATTTATAATAAATTGGTTTGCGCCAATTGTGTACGAAAGCAATATGTTAAAAATTAGCGTATTATTAATTTCATAAATACAAAAAGTGAAAATTATTTACATAAGTATATTATAAATCAATTTAAAAAATTTGGTACATATATTATCTTATTAAAGTTATAATTTTTGATATGAAGATGAAAGATATATTTATAATGACATAAGCGTATTATTATTAACGAGCATTATTTTTTTCCGAACTTATTAAGTCTAAACATTTCATTTAAATTGATTTTATTAAAGAAAAAGACGTATTACTATATGAATTTCTTTAGGTTTTTTGAATTTATTTGATGAAGTAGCAACGGGTAATCAAGGTCTGAAGGATGTGATATTGGCATTACAATGGGTCCAGAAAAATATATCAAAGTTTGGTGGAGATTCAGAAAATGTTACCATTTTTGGTCAAAGTGCCGGTGGAGTTATTGTACATTGCTTGACTTTATCTCCATTAAGCGAAGGTACATATATTTATTGATAAATACACAGAATTATTTGGCATATATACGGAATTTTATTACTTATTGTTAGTCAAATTTATTAACTGATAAATTCAATTATTGAAATCAATTTTTTCTGTGTTTAACAAAAACATAGGTTCCAATATTATAAAAAAAACTTCATGAAACTAAGATATATATTGAAGAATGATATATATTGATATTATTGATATTATTATGAAGTAATTAAATTTAGAATTTTTTAAATTTTAATTAAAATTAATATATATTTAAATCTAAAAGTTTATGTAAAATAAAACAATTGCTCCAATGTGTTTGCTAAAGAACGATTAAATTTAATTAACTTCAAATTAATGAAAAAGATCAATGATTAAAAAGATACGAATTTTTACTCTTTAAAATAAATCCTATATATTTTCTTTATTAATCAAAGAGAAAAAATTAAGAAATATTTTTTATGACAACAACTCGTATACTAAAATTCGATACGATTCTACTTGCAGGTTTGTTTCATAAAGCGATATCGCAAAGTGGCACTGTTATGTGTCCATCGGCCTTTACCGAACCGAAATCTTGTTCAACGAATAAAGGCTTCTTGCTTGCCAAGAAACTCGGAAAAGTGACCGAAGATCCGAAGGTTGTTTATGAGTTTTTCAAAACGATCGACGCGAAAAAACTCATAGAAGTTGAACAAAAGTTTCTCAGAACAGAAAAAGTAAGTGTACTTTAAAATTTGATTACTTCAATGTGGAGTTATACGTATGTAGATACAGATGTATAGAGACTGTAAGAATAAAATATTTTTTCTTTTAACTCTTTCGCTCTTCGCTGGAGCGAAGTCTAATGCAGAACGCGCGATCAATTACTAGTATAAAGATATATGAATAATGATAATATTAGTACTAAACATCTTAAGGCGCCAAAAGAATACAATCACCAAAATATCAAACCGCCTAAAGGCGCCTACAGAAGCAGAAGGTTTAATAACTTCTTCTTTTAGGAGCGTCTACAATCTCTATTGTCTTTTACACCTAGTCTAGATCATGAATCATCAAATCCAGTTTTCCCGGAAGATCTAACAACGCTTATTCATCGTGGCGTTAAAGTTCCATATCTTCTGGGTTTTACAAATTGTGAAGGATTATTTTTTTTACGCAATAATTATGAATGTGAGTACATTTGTCTTTATTCTCGTTTTGTGTGTATGTATGCGTGTGTAATGCAATTTGATATACAACATTTGTAAATAGTATCTTCTATTAAGAGTACAACTGTAGTATATTATATATTGGTACTATATTATGTGTATATACAGAGTGTTTCTTAATAAGTGCAAAAAATTGTAGGAGATGATTCTGTGTCGAAAATTAAGAGTTTTTCATATAAACATATATTCCTATATTCCTCCCTGTGGAGTTATACTCCTCTAAAAATGGGAGTGAAAATTAGATTTTATTTTTTAGATTTTTAGGTTTTTATTATAATTTTGTTTTTGTTCCAATTTTCCAAACATTTACTCTAATTTTTATTTTAAAATTTAACTTCTCGTAATTTGAAACCTATTATATGTTGTTATATGCTATTTAGCATCGTGCTGTGCACGATAACGTATTTTTTTCTTGAAGACTACTGATTTTATAAAAGCATAAAAGAAATAAGAAAGTTTCTAAATAAATCAAATATTTTAATGCATATTTTTAGATGATCATATACCGGACCATTAAAAAATTTTAATTAAAAAATTGGACAGAGATTGCTAATTTCATCCCCTTATAACTATACGGGAGGCTGAAAAAAATATTAATAATCTTTTTACTAGTAGAAAATATCCACCTAATTTCGTTATTTTAACTTGTTCAAAATTTGAGAAAAAAATAGAAACCTAATTTTTACCTCCATTTTTGGAGGAATGTAACTCCACAGAGAGGGATGTAGCAGTATATGTTTATATGAAAAACCCCCTCAATTTTCGACAAAGATAATCATCTTCTAAAATTTTTCACTTATTAAGAAACACCCTGCATACACACACCCAAGCACGCGCGCGCGTGTGTGTATATGTATAAATTTATATATATATGTATAAATAATATTTAAAATTTAATATTTTAAAAATAAATTTTCTTTGACAAACGTTGCTAAATTACTTCTTAGCAAAAAATTAAAGTATTATTATTGTTAAAATATATTGGCTCTTTACCTGACACTCTGTATAATCACCTTTAATATGATTTCAGGCATAAATAAGAAGGCTCTCAGTCAAATAGATTCTGACTTTGAATTGGCAATATATCCCACAGTTTTACCTAAACTGCCAATCACATTATGTCAATTACGATCTTTATATTTTGGTGACAAAAATATTTCAGAGGAAACATTGGCTAATTACATTAATTTACTCACCGATATGTTTATTTTGCGTGGTATTATGCAAGTAGTAGACATTCAGATGAATAATGATAATTGTGGAAAGACATATCTGTATCAATTCTCATATGAAAGCGAAAACTCACTCATGAAGCAAAATTTCAATATTGATTTTCCAGGTACAGACGCTAATAAGTTTAACATGCTAATATAAGATTCTTTAATGTTGAACTTTATAAACTATTAAGCACATCTTATAATTTATTTTGTGTACTAATATCGCTAAAAAAAGGCAAATGTTATTGTTTACTCTCTTTTTATAAATATTTCTTATTTAGAACTTGTGTGTTACATAAAAGGAACAAAAGGAACGTACGAGATCTAACGTCTACAATATAACAATAACAATATATTGATAATAGTAATGTTGCCATCTACTCGATATCGATCAACTATATCTTAACGATCTTTTATCATCCTATAATAGCAGTGTGAATTAAACATCTATCAAATCCCCCACTTTGATCACTCTGTAATTTATCGCAATCTCCACTTTTCAACATGCTTATTCATTACAATATAAGATAATGTAAAGATATCCGCCACATTATCACCAGATGAGGTATATTTTCATTCAATTAAATCATCCTCATGCATTTCTCTAATAATACGATAGGCTATGTCGATATGTTTTGTACGTGATCTCTTTATTTTGTTTCTTGTGAAGTCAATTGCCGATTTGTTGTCGCATCTGATGACATATAGTTTACAGGGCACTTCTGTTTTCTGTGCTAATACATTGAATATCATATTCAGCCGTATAACTTCTTTTACAGCTACTTCCGCAACATATTCAGCCACCATAATACATGTCGAAATTGACTTATGTTTATTAGATTTTCATATTATTGGGTTTTCGCTTAGAAATATTTATGCATTATAGGAGTGTTTATCATCTATATCTACACTCCATCCTATCTATTAACTACACCTTAACAATCTTTTATCATCCTATTATTGCAGGTGGATCAAACATATATTATAAACGAATGCACTCATACTGTAATTAAAATGGTATCAGTAAATAACATTTCTACATTATAAGCAAGCGAGAACATGTGATTTCGTTTGAAAATAATTTTATTTAAAAACTATATCTTTTTCTATCAATTTTAATGTCTTTTTTTCATTTAAAATAATAAATATAAATTTAAAATAAAAATTATATATTTGTATTTCTAATTAATTTACTATATTACAACATGTTGTAGGTGTGTCTCATGGCGAAGAACTGTGTTACTTGTTTTATGCTGATATAATAAAAGAATTAGGTTTATCAGTACCCGCGTCTTATTCGGAAGATTATAAGATGATAAATCGTTTAACCCAAATGTGGACAGATTTTGCTAAAACAGGGTAATATAAACATAATATTTTATGTGATTTTACAATGGTTTATTATAATAATTAAATTTCAATTTATTTCTAGGAATCCAACACCCGCGATTACTTTTTTGATTCCAAATAAGTGGACACCGTTAAAGCATGCTGAAAATGTGTACGATTATTTAGACATTGATATTGAACCTCGGATGAAAACTCTTCGTAAAGGGAAGCAGCGCTGGGACTGGGAGAACATGAAAAACATAAGCTATGATCATTCTTTTTACAAAATTTAATCAGCAATAAAAAATTGATTTTTTAGTATACACATACATATACATTCTACGATAATAAATAAATTTTTTCTCCATCTTTTTTTGGAGTCAATTGCTTATAAAAATAATCAAAAATAATATTATTAATTCAGAGTGCTTTAGAAGTTAGAAAATGTGGATAGCTTTGTTTTGTAAGTCTGTTTTTATTGTCAGGACATTAGTCCAATAAATGTCAAATTTATGAATCCTTAAAAATAGAAAATTTTTTGCAAACAGTATTTGTTATTAATTAACATTATTTGTTATTTGTTATTATTTGTAATTAATAAAATTTGGAAAATGTTAGATATCCATATTTACACTACATCTATATACATAACGGATCGAATTCTTACTAGATTTAATCGATAGAGCGAGTTTGAGTTATATCAAGAAAATATCTTTATTTTCGCTGCTAAATATAAACGGAGATATCATGACGCAGAATCAAAATATGGAAATTTTCACTTAAGAAACGTCTTTATTATCATCATCAGCACACATGTACACAACACATAGAAAGAGAAAACATACCTGTTATTTTGTCTACAAAAATAGTGATATATAAAAATTGTGTTAATAAAAGATAAATAGAAGTACAAGGAAGAAAACTTGTACAAATTAATATAAAACAAAAGAGTAAAAAAATTTTAATTAAAAATACTTGGCAATGAAATTGGGAAATATTCTAATTAAATATATATTTAAAAAATTGGAACATGTTCTAATGATTAATTTTAATTATTATAGTCTAATATTTAAATTTAATGACTTAAATTCTTTAATTAATTTATATTGATTAATTTATATTAATTTATATTGATTTATATTGATTTATATTTTCAATTAATTTATATTGATTTATATTGATTTATATTTCGAAATTTAGACTTTTAAGCTAAACAATATACTAATAAAATTGGCAACGCCAAGTTTTTTTAATTAAATTTTTTTTTACTTTTTTGTTTTATATTAATTTGTACAAGTTAACTTGTACAAGTTTTTTCCCTTGTACTTCTATTTATCTTGTACAAATTTTTATACTTATAGTTAGCGCAATTTTTATATATCAATATTTTTCTAGACAAAATAGCAAATATAATTAGTACATAAATTTGGCGCTCTTCTTTTATCTTTTTTTTTAAAAGTAAGTTTTAAGGATTAATCATACTCACGCGCGTTTAGAGTATTTTTATTAATAATATAAAGTTTCTAAATATATAAAGACAATTCAGATAAATAAGATAAAAAAAACATTATATGTATATATATATATATATATATATATATAATGTTATATATATATATATAATGTTTCATATATATATATATATATATATATATATATATATAAAAGTTAGACAATGATTGTAAATTATAATATTTCATATCAGTAATATGATAATGTAGTAACAGTATGAGCTTATCTTAATCTAATCACCTCAAACGAGAATCCACATAGATATATATAATCGCACAATATAAACCAGCAGACCGACTTATCAACATTCTTCTATCGTCATTCTTTTATCGTACAACATGGAGAGAGTTGAAGTTTGTGTACGTGATGGCAAGTTGGTTGGTATTGTCAAAAAAGGTATTTATGGTGGTCGCTATGTTGCCTTTCGCGGAATACCATATGCGAAACCTCCGATTGGTGAACTCAGATTTAAGGTAAATATATAGTTTTCTCAATCTTTTCGTGATCGGTTTTATATGGCGTTGATTTTAATCTTTATTATCATTGATTGTTTATTTTTTATTTAATTTAATTATTTCTTTTTAAATTACAACTAGAAAAATACAAAAAATGCAGATCTCAGGTAAAATACGTCATTAATAAAACTGACTAGGTCTATCTAGCATATATTGTGCAATTATTATATCATATTCTTATTTATTTTATAGAAATAAAAAAATAATAAATTATTATGCATCTATGACACTTAAATTTTTCGAATTAAAGCGACTAAAAGAAATAATATTAAATTGATGTTATTATTTATGAATTTTAATTTTCACCTGCAATTGCAAAAAGAAACGATATGTTTAAAGAATACCTGATATACATAACATAGATTAATTTTTTAACATAGATAAAAAAATAATATGTTCTACAGTAGAAATAATTCTCTTCATTGTAGAAGTTTCATAGAATATAATATGAAATATATGTAAGAATTGATAGGTACAAAACAATAAGCGAATTTAATAGAATTAATAGAACAATTTTTTAAATTTAATTTAATATCCACGAAAAAGCAAAATTTGATATAATCGATTTGTTTATTGTTTATACTACTATGTAATTTTTCAATATAATGTTGATTTTAAAAGCGCGTATAGTAACAACGTACGCATACGATTATATTAATAACTAAAAATAAGCACTTGCAGAAATCGGCACTTCTATCATTTATTAGATAGTGATATGTAAACATGACGTAAGATACGTTTGTTCATCTTATCATAGAAAAACAAGTTATTTTGTAACGCACGACGATATACGATTAGACGCAAAAAATTAATATTTAATTTTTACAAGAAAATTTGTTCATATCCTAGAAATACGATAATCAATACAAAATAAAAGTTTGATATAATATTACATGTGTATTCTTTACTAAGGATAGATCTCGTACTTGATATGTTTCACATTAGCGAATTTTTTATGTAGGATCCTGTACCACCAGAACCGTGGTCCGGTAGCAGAGATGCTTTAAAATACGGAAATGTTGCTGTTCAGATAGATGTTATCCAAAAATCAAAAATTATAGGCGACGAAGACTGTCTTTATTTAAATGTGTTCACTACAGATATTAAGTCTTTGAAAAAACGTCCTGTAATGGTATGGATACATGGCGGTGGCTTTTTTTTCGGATCTGGTGATTCGACTCTTTATGGTCCTGATTATATTGTGAAAAAAGATGTAGTGTTGGTTACTCTAAATTACAGATTAGGCGTCCTAGGTACATTATTACGAATTAGTTTGATACGCAATAAGTTTTCATTTATATTAGTATATATCACTTGTGTTTGGCTTATTTTCTTTTAGAATGAATATTTAAATTAAATATACCGTATCTCAAATTATTTACAATATAATATTAATTATAATATTAATTGATCATCTCTAAACATTTCATTTAAATCGATTTTATCAAAGAAAACGCATTACTATACGAATTTTCTTAGGTTTTCTGAATCTATATGATAAAGTAGCAACGGGCAATCAAGGTCTGAAGGACGTGATCTTGGCATTACACTGGGTCCAGAAAAATATATCAGAGTTTGGTGGAGATTCAGAAAATGTCACCATTTTTGGCGAAAGTGCCGGCGGAGCTATAGTACATTATTTGACGTTATCTCCATTAAGTGAAGGTACATATTTATCGATGTACACATAAAATTATCTACCGTATATAAAGAATTATCTATTATTTAATCAGATTTAGTAGTTAATTTGAAATTAATTTATTCTGTGTTCAACAAAAACGTAGCTAAAATATATATTATATATTATGCTATATATATATATATTATATATATTATATATATATTATTATATATATTATTATATATATATATTATATATATATATATATATATTAAATATATATTATGCTATATAGGAAATATAATAAAGCTTATATGTATGCATATATATAAGCACACATATAGCATCTCCCTTTTTTTCAATTAATTTCAAATTGATATTCTTAAAAGATAATTAAATTTCGAGTTTTTAAAATTTTTATTTTTATTTTAACTGTAAAAAATGTTAAAATCTAGAAATTTGTAAAAACAAAATAATTATTACAGTTTTCGTTAAAGAATAATCAACTTAAAATTGACGAAAAAGATCAATGATTAAAAAGATATGAATTTATTCTCTAAATTAGAGTCTATTTATTTTTTTTTATTACTCAAAGGGAAGAATAAAAATTTTTTCTATAACGTATTTTGATAAAATCGTGTACTAAGTTAAAAGTCTGGATAGTTAAGAAATATTTTTTATGACAACAAATTGCGTGTACCAAAAGTCCTCGATACGATTCTATTTATAGGTTTATTTCATAAAGCGATATCGCAAAGTGGCACTGTTACATGTCCGTGGGCCCTTACCGAATTAGAATCTTGTTCAACGAATAAAGGCTTCTTGCTCGCTAAAAAACTCGGAAAAGTGACCGAAGATCCGAAGGATGTCTACGAGTTTCTCAAAATGATCGACGCGAAAAAACTCATAGAGACTCAGAAGTTTCTCGCGACAGAAGAAGTAAGTGTATTTTAAAATTTGATTGCGTCTATTTCAATATGGAATTATACATGTGTACAGATCTATAGACGACCTATAGTACGAATACAATAATTTTTACAAACATAACAAAATTTATACAAACAATAATAATAAAATTTTTACAAACATTAATAACATCTTTTTCGAAGGAGCGTCAACAATTTCTTCTAATTTTTACACCTACTCTGGATCACGAATCATCAAATCCAGTCTTCCCGGGAGATCTAACGACGCTTATACATCGTGGTGTTAAAGTGCCATATCTTCTGGGTTTTACAAATTGCGAGGGATCTGTTCTTTTAAAAAGTAACTTTTATGGATGTAAGTATATTTTTATTTTATCTTCATTAAATATATCTGTAATGCTTTGTCGCATAATTTTTTGTAACGATCTTCTTATTAACGATCTTATTAGGAATACAACATTGGTATTGTATATACAAATAATATTTAAATTAAATATTCTAAAAATAAATTTTTGTGGTATGTGTGGCAAACCATAACATTGCAAAATTATCCCAAAGCGATAAAAATTTGTTTAAATATTATTTACTCTTTATATAATAATTACTGTATAGTCTAACTACAATAACAAAATAATTTCAGACATTACTAAGGAGGCTCTCAGTCAAGTAGATTCTGACTTTAAACTGGCAATATATCCCAGAGTTTTAACTACACTGCCAAAGATACCAATCACATTATGTCAATTACGATCTTTATATTTTGGTGACGAAAATATTTCAGAGAAAACAGTGCCTAATTACATTAATTTACTCAGCGATATATTTTTTTTTCGCGGTATTATGCAAGCAGCGGATATTCAAATGAATAATGATAATTCTGGAAAGACATATCTGTATCAATTCTCATACGGAAGCGAAACCTCACTCATGAAGAAAATTCTCAATACTGACTTTCCAGGTACAGACGTTAATAAGTTTAAAATGGTAATAAACTTAATATGAAACTCTTTAATGTTGAACTGTACATATAATGTTATATAATGTTATATAATGTTGAACATATGCAAATGCATTTATACTGTAATAAAAATGTTATCTCTGAGTAACATTTCTACATTATACTTATAAAAAAATGTGTGTAAGTTCATTTCAAAATATTTTTTTTAAAAACTATATTTTTTTTAAGAATTTTAATATTTTTTTCGATTTAAAAATAATAAATATAAATTTAAATTAAAAGTTATATATTTGTTTTTAATTAATTTACCGTATTACAACATGTTGTAGGTGCGTCTCATTGCGAAGAACTGTGTTACCTGTTTTATCCTGATATAATAAAAGAATTAGGTTTATCAGTACCCGCACCTGATTCGGAGGATTATAAAATGATAAGTCGCTTAACGCAGATGTGGACAGATTTCGCTAAAACAGGGTACTAAACTTAATATTTTTATGTGATTTTACAGTGATTTATTGTAATAATTAATTTTCAATTTATTTCTAGAAATCCAACACCCGCGATTACGGATTTGACTCCAATTAAGTGGACACCGTTAAAGCCCGCCGGAGATGTGTACGATTATTTAGACATTGATGTCAAACCTCGAATGAAAACTTTTCGTAAAGGAGAGCAGCGCTGGGAGTGGAAGAATACATGAAATATAGCTATGATCATTCTGTCTGCAAAAATTAATCAGTAGTAAAAAAATTGGCATTTTTTAACACATTTTGCGATAATAAACATATTTTTTCTCTTCTTTTGTACTTTCCTTTTGTATTTCAAATTATATTGCGTCACAAATAATGTCATAGTTGCTTGAAGATAAAGATGTCGTAGTTGCTTAAAGATAAAGATAATCAAAAATAATATTATTAATTCAAAGTGCTTTAAAAGTTAAAAAATGTGGATAGCTTTGTTTTGTAAATCAGTTTTTATCGTCAGGCCATTGGTCCGATAATTGTCAAATTTGTAAATCTATAAAATCAGAAAATTCTTTGCAAACATTATTTATTATTAAAAATCTGAAAAATGATAGATGACTATGTCGATATTTTCGTTAAATTGTAGATATTTAAATAATGCAGAGATTTCTTCTTTTTTATCCAATAAATATTAATTTTTTCTACAAGATTACGAAATTTCTGTGTACAATAAGATTAACTGAAAAAATAGTGTATATTAAAGAGGATCACAATATAAAACTTAAATAACGCAAAATAAAAATAAACATTCAACAGAATAATGTAAAATAATATGTAATTAGCAATATAGATTTAATAATCAATAATTTTTCTTTCTATATACGTAATGATTCATTGATTGATACATTGATGATACATTGATCAAGATCAGAAGGAATTATTTGCCTGAATATTGACAATTCTACTTTTTACTGCATTTTAAATTTAATTTAAGCAGTGTTAACATTTGGCCCTCTATCAAATCTATTGATCACGAGACCGCAATATCACGTCTTAAATATTATGAAATATTCTTTCGTAGTTGTTTACGAAATCTTATCTCTATTATATAATGCATGCAAAAATCAATTATAAATCGTGTAATTTATTTCTCATTTATAATCATATCATATAAAATTATAAAACTCAAAAATTGATGCTTTTTTTATCATAATCCAAAAATAACATAATTGAAGTTAATAATTATTAAATATTATATAATTATTAAACACAATTTGGTTATCATTGTAATAAAAGCAAATTGATACTATTATTTCTATATTTTTCAATACTTTATATTATTACATTGTATTATTATTATTATCGTATTTAATTTAATTAACGTTTCTCACACCATATATTTTTAAAATATTGTAGATTTGTGTGAGAACTGTGTGATATATATTATTGTATATAATTGTATTTATCAATTTTATCTAATTTATTCCATCAGTCTTATCTAATCTATAATCTTTGTTAAAACGTTCGTTACCAAAATAAAACACTTAAATCTTATTAAAATTTCCGATATTAAAATTTATAGATCTTATTAAATTAAACATCTTATTAAATTACACAGATTTCTATTTCTTCTTAAATCTCATCTTTATAATTTATAACTAAATTGTAAACAAAAATATAAAAGCATATTTGATTTCACATCTTAATTAATTTTATATCTTATCATAGATATATCTTATCTTATTATTTCAATCTTGGAGATAAATAAAAGAAGCAAACTTAAGCATGATAAAGTGTTTTATATTTCGAAGCAATTAGTACAATGTAAATAACAAAATTTGAGTATACTCGAACAAAATTTATAATATTTCAGAATTGCTTTCTATTTGTTTTTTGTTTATGTAAAGTACATATATAGCATGTTTCGTTATCTTATTTATTTAATGATTTGTTATCTCATACATTTAGACATTTTGTTATTAATAAAAAACTCAGATGTATAATTTCAGAGTATCAGTGTACTGATATTTTTTGAAAATTAATTATTCTTATATATGTAATATTTTTTGAATATATTAACGACTGTATCTAAAATCGTAAAGTTCAATTTTCTTAGAGAAAAAATTTTATTTTCTCATAAAAATTTTGTACAAGTAGTTTGTGAGCTTTATAATTTATTTGCGTGAATATCGATAATATTCATAATGCCGCGGTAGAAAAGCTTATTGGCAAGAAATCAATGTAATTCATTAGAGTTTCCTCTGAAACATTACATTGCATTGTTACCAAAGTATAATAATCGTAATTCTCTGCAAGCTCTACTTTGATTTCAAGAAACATAATATTATTCATTCTTATAATTTGTTTTTATAAGTGATTTACATTTATAACACGTATAAATATGCGTCTCATAAATATTTTTTGCATTTTTTGCAAATAATACACAAACAAAATTTTATAGTTATAAGAAAATGAACGAGAGAGATATCATATTTTGTTATGTAAGATTAACCGAGATAAAAATTGAAAAGTGATTGTAAATTATACAATATTTTACATTAGTAACATGTATAATAGTTCCATTCTCGTTTAAAGAAAAATAAAGAAAAAAGAAGAAAAATCTTGCGATGTAAAATTAAGCAAGATAAAAATTAAAAAATGATTGTAAATTAAACAATATTTTATATCAGTATTATATAAAAAAAATAATAACCCAACGTTGTAATCTAATTCCTTCTCTAAACGAGAATGGACTTTTATACATTGAGATATATAATATACACAAACTACCATTCTCTCCATGATGATAATATATATATATGTGTGTGTGTGTGTGTGTACAGGGTGTAACTAAAAAAGCGTCCACAGGGCAAATAGCGTTATTCTTGTTTAAAAATCGAATCGAAAAGTCCTGAACCATTTTTTTCTATAATGCTCAATAAAGCGGTAATTATTGAGTAAAGTTGTGCCAATAAGCACCGACCTTTAGCCTCATTGTCAAATTTTCTTCAAGGAAACGCTTTTGAGAAAAGAAATATGATTTTAAAAATAATTTTGCAAGACAAAGTTTTTCGCATTATTACGACGCATAGAAATATTGCACGCTAGCCGCATAACATAACGCCGTAGCAGTGGAGCACACACTACTAGGGGCGCGGCTCATTAACGTGGACTTCTCAATTTTTAATCAGGAATAACGCTATTTGCACCATGGGCGTTTTTTTAGTTACACCATCTATAATCCTACAATGTATATAAGGTAGCACACTGACTTATCAACGTTCTTTTCTCGTTATCTTCCTATCGTATCCAACATGGAGAGAGTTGAAGTTTGTGTACGTGATGGCAAGTTGGTTGGTATTGTCGAGAAAGGTATTTATGGTGGTCGCTACATTGCCTTTCGTGGAATACCATATGCGAAACCTCCAATTGGTGAACTCAGATTTAAGGTAAATATATAGTTTTCTCAGTCTTGTCGTGATCGGTTTTATATGGCGTTAATTTCAGTCTTTATTATTATTGATTGTATACTTCTTATTTGACTTGATTATTTTTTCAAACATTGAAACTAGAAAAATACAAAAATGAAGATCTCAGATAGAAAATATTATTGATAAAACTGGCTAATAGGTCTATCTAGCATACATTATGCAATGATTATATCTTATCTCCTTATCCATTACTTTGTAGAAATAATAATAAATTGATATTATTATCTATCAATTTTAATTTTCACCTGCAATTGTAAGAAGTACCAATATGTTAAAAAATACCTGATATATATATATAACAGTTTAATTTTTTTTAGATAAAATACAATATGTTCTATAGGAGAAATAATTCTTTTCATTGTAGAAGTTTCATAGAATATAATATGAAATATATGTAAGAAATGATAAGTACAAAACAATAAGCGAATTTAATAGAATTAATAGAACAATTTTTTAAATTTAATTTAATATCCACGAAAAGGCACAATTTGATATAATCGATTTGTTTATTGTTTATACTATTATGTTTATATACTATGTTTATATACTATAATTATATACTAATTTTTCAATATAATGTTGACTTTAAAAGCGCGCATAGTAACAACGTACGCATACGATTATATTAATAATTAAAAATAAACTTGCAGATATCGAGAATTCTAAGATTTATAATAGATAGTGATATGTAACATATGTCTGTTCATCTTGTTTCACAGAAAAACAAGAAATTATTTTATAACGCATGACGATAGACGATATACGATAACAAAAAATATTTAAGTTTTACAAGAAAATTTGTTCATATCCCAGAAATATGATAATCAATACAAAATAAAAGTTTGATATAATATTACATATGTATTCTTTACTAAAGATAGATGTCGTATTTGATATGTTTGATACATTAAGGAATTTTTTATGTAGGATCCTGTACCACCAGAACCATGGTCCGGCAGCAGAGATGCTTCAAAATACGGAAATGTTGCTGTTCAGATAAATGTTGACAAAAAATCAGAAATTATAGGCGATGAAGACTGTCTTTATTTAAATGTATTCACTACAGATATTAAGTCTTCGGAAAAACGCCCTGTGATGGTATGGATACACGGCGGTGGTTTTTTTTTCGGATCTGGTGATTCGTCTTTTTATAGTCCTGATTACATCGTGGAAAAGGATGTACTGTTGATTACTCTAAATTACAGATTAGGAGTTCTAGGTACATTATTACGAATTAGTTTATATTAGTATATATCACTTGCGTTTGGTTTATTTTCGTTTAGATATAGATATAATAGATATTTAAATTAAATATACCGTATTTCAAATTATGTACAATATAATATTAATTATAATATTAATTGATCATCTCTAAAAATATCATTTAAATCGATTTTATCAAAGAAAAAGACGCATTACTGTACGAATTTCCTTAGGTTTTCTGAATCTATATAATGAAGTAGCAACGGGCAATCAAGGTCTGAAGGACGTGATCTTGGCATTACAATGGGTCCAGAAAAATATATCAGAGTTTGGTGGAGATTCAGAAAATGTCACCATCTTTGGCGAAAGTGCTGGCGGAGCTATAGTACATTACTTAACTTTATCTCCATTAAGTGAAGGTGCATATTTATCGATGTATATATAAAATTATCTGCCATATATAAAGAATTGTCTATTATTTAATCAGATTTAGTAGTTAAGTAATATAAAAAAATTTTTTCTGTGTTCAACAAAACCATAACTCAAATATATATCATACTATATAGGAAATATCATGAAGTTTATATTTATACACACACACACATACACACACACACATATATATATATATATATATATATATATATATATAGCACATCCATTTTTGGTCCATATTGTTATAAAAAAATTGATATTGTTATGAGATAATTAAATTTCGAGTTTTTA